CTCTTCCCTCAATATGCTTAAAGAGGGATGCACATAACTCATACTCAAAATACTCTAGATTTTTGCTGTACAACTCTTGTAGAGCTATGAGGATATCATAAGCATTGAAAACTCTTCATGCTTAGTTTGAAGTTCTCATTCATGGAGGCTAGCATGTAATTTTTAGCACTCTGCCATCTTTCTCCACTTTTCAAGAGCATCAAGCTCAGCTTGTGGGAGCATCCGGTCCAATATCAAGTGAAGAGGTGCTTCTAGGACATAAGCAATTCTTTCAAAAATCTAGAACAATTCTAAGATTCTTAGCCAATCTTTTAGGTTGGGTCCGGTTAACATGTTATTATCCATTATCCTTAGGGGAACATTGTTGGCCATTTTTCAATTATTTATCACAAGATGAAAATGCAAAAAAAAGTAATTTATTAGTGTCTTGTAATCTTTTAAACTTTTAATGCATAATCAAATTAGCTCCCATATTTTATTGGAGTCTCTAACCCTTAAATAGGATCCAAAAATTTCGTTGGATTAAATTTCTTAGTGGGGAATCAATTTCTTATCAAATTCAATTAACCTCACATAATAGAATTCTTGGTTAATTAAGTCTAATAAGTAGGAAACTTTTTCCTTTATATCACTATATAAGGTTTGATTCATATTCCTTATCCTAGCTTCGGATACCTCACATAATAGAATTCTTGGTACCCTAGGCTAGTTAAATCCGAACATTGTGCTTCTTAGGATGGCATTTTCTCATGTCCTCACATAATAGAATTCTTGGTCAAGGTGAAAATATCCATCCAAGAACAAGATCAACTTAATTTATGATATAAAGATATATCCCTCACATAATAGAAATCTTGGGTATTAAATTTATATCAAAGAATTTAGTTATCCCACAATGGGAGACTTGGATTTAATAATTTTAATTGGGGAGATTAGGTTAAACTTTAGTTAATTCATTTTAGCATGCCATGTTAATTAACCATTCATACATATCACATATATGCATAAACTAAAGCATGTGGGTTGATCATGGGCTTTTCGAAAATACATCCTAAAGCAAACATTTACCCTAAATACTATATCTTTGATTGGATCGTCATCCGGATGCTCTTCGGTTCCCGTCTAGCCGATTCCATTACAAATAGATCTTAGGCACGCAGGCCCGATTAAAAATAAATAATAAAAATTTAATTATTACAAGCCATTTAATAAAAGAAATTTACAAACATTTTTTAATATTTGAAAACCAAATGGCGCCCATGATCAACCCTCTAATCTAATATTCATTCATCACATAAATAAATATTAAACATTCATACCAAATATAATAAAACAATTATTAAAGGCATGAATATAAACAATTATTTAAAGTATATATATATATAATATATAATATTATATATATATATATATATATATCTAATAATTATATATATATATATATATATATATATATTTACATATATAAAATAAATATATCTCATATATTAATAGTATTATATATATAAAATATTCATGTGGTAATTTAATTCAACTTTGGGGCATGCAACAATTCAACATTTATAAAAATCATTACACAAACACTTTTGTATATTCTACCCAAAGATATATTATTTAATTACTACATATTTCAATACTTTTCACAAAAGTCATGCATGGCACAGATAAATGGGTTTATTACTCAAAGAGTAATCATTATAGACACAGTTACTTTTAACTAAAGTAATTTTTCTAGAATTATTTTCTAAAGACAATCATGTCATTTGCATATCATTTTTTGAAACCATCAAACAACCAAATTATTACATTTCAAAAATATAATAATTTATGTCATGCAATGATGCGTTATAAGATAATTTATCAAATTGAATATCCTACATTAAAATACCACATCAATATAATATCATAATCTCATATGAATTAATAATCCAAACTTTATGCTAACATCAAATTCCACCACTAAACATTTGCAACATTTGCATACACTTCATGCAAAATATACTTTAATCAAATAAAGGAAATGAACATGCATGAACATTTTTCTAAAAAATATCATGCAACATTTCCTAAAGCATCATTCATCAATGCATGAATGAAATGACATATAATTATGGCAAAATAGTCATGGCTGAGAATGACTATATGCATGCATGTAGTTCTAACATATCTCATGCAATAACAATCATCCAACATGCTATAACCATCATCCAAACATGCTTTAAATCACATTCTAACATATCCAAACATATTAGAGCAAGAAGAAAAACAGTTTTCCTTAAACAAAGGATGGTGAGAATCACCATATGCATCAAACATGCTTATTACATCAAATACTCATTCATTACAAAGGCATGCTCTTATAACCATTACCTTATTCAAAACATATGAGAATGAGAAGAAAAAAGAACATCCACCTCTGATCTATGTATGGCCGGACATGCATGTAGGAGCTACTATGAAAAAAATCATTTTTGAACCATATCACTAACATGCAAACTCAACCAAGTTGATGAATATTAGAACACATGGAAAATGTCATTTTGCTATAAATTCGACATGCAAGGAGCTTTTAGCTCTGATACCATTTGAAAGACCAGCATGCTGCATGAAGAGTGGTGGAAATGGAAGAGAAAGCATGAAAGGATGGATTAAAAAAAACGGTTTTCATGCAAAGCTTGAAAAGAGATATACCTACTCATTTGCTTTGGATTGATGAATATTAGCCTCAAAGGATGAAACCTCCACACTTTAACATCACTTGAGAGATAGAGAGTGGACGTGGTTTGAGAGAGAGTTTTAGTTGTTTTGAGTGAACAAGTGAAGAATGAACTAAAATGCAACCTTTTGCATTTATATATACTTGGGCAATTTTACAATTATTTATTTTCACTTCCAAGCCCAATAAAATCTTATTTTATAAAGGGACCCACGAATTTATTATGCTACACTTTGAATAATCAATATTATTCAAGGGCCCAGTAAACTAAACTAGTTTACATTAACAATTCATAATTTACCCTTTTACCTTTAAACTATTAAAAGGAATTTTGTTCATCTCATAATCTTAACACTTTAAGATATAATAATTAATTATGCTTGACCTTTAACCCTTAAAATGTCACAAATAATTTTCTATGTAACTATTACTATGGAAATCCCGTTATTACCCTTGGAAGGTGCTAGCCCTCTTCGGATAATCATTTCTCTTCGCATCCTTCTCTAACTTCTCAGGCTATTGGTGTGACCATGTAGGTCCACCATGGATTAGTTGTGAGTCGGTTCTGGATTGAATCCAGAAACTGTCTAGAGGCCAATCATGGAAAGTCAAAATCCTAACTCGATCTTTACCGAATCGTCAATCAATATGTTCGGAACTCGTCATCACAAACTTGCTTTTGCATGACTAATAATAGACTCTGGCCAGAGATTCTGTTTCCAACATTATCGACATTCATCTAGGAACTCGATCTGGATAGAGTCAGCGGTACTCCCGATCTATATTTTCGAGTCAATGGATCTCCTCTTGACCATCGTTCGTTTCCGCATATGAATAACGCATGACCAAATAGGCTTTATTGTACGAAACATGATTAGTCTCGTACTTATACACCATATGAACCATACGCATCCGTATCGGATCCAACTACAAGTCTCAGGTCAAAGGACTACATCGTGCACTGATATAACCAAACAATAAATCATTGACTACATGCTTTTCCAAGTGTTGTCGTGATCAGTCACGTTCGAAAAACAGTTCACCAACTGCTAATCCATAGCAATGACCCAGTGACAGACTATCATCGTCATCCGTATTATATCAACCATGATATCTTTCAGAAGCATTCGATATGCCTATGCAATTAATTGCAAAATTATATTGCTTCCGTAGGGAACCCTTTTCGATAATTCATTTACCGATTAAATGAATCATCTGGACAATTCATATACATACTTTATTTTAAATGCATGACTAAATAAAGGAAGCAATTTATATATATGAATTGAAGAACTTTTTCTTCTATTATTTATGATATATAGATACAAGACAAAATTCTCTAAAACCGACAATACGAATGGTTTCTGGGGCATACACTAATATACACTAACAATAGTATATGATGACACCGAAGATCTGAGGCTGTGAAACATCTTCGCAAGAGAATTGATACACTGTTTGGATCGATGTGCAAAGTTATCTAGAAAATATTGTATCAAGAAATGAATCGTACAAGCGGGTTAAATGTTTCCTTCATAAGAGAAGATTTATGTCAACACGTCTCCATTAAAGATTAGAATATATATGGTCACTACTTAAAAAGTATCTAACATCTAAAACACCAGTATCATTTTAGAATAATACTACACATACATCATTCCCATACAATATTATGTGGCAAGATATGATTGGGTGAAAGTTTAATTTTAATTTTAAATTAGCCAATCATATCTTGTCACATAATGTTGTATGATAAATATTGTATGAAAATGATGTATGTGTAATATTACTCATCATTTTATATGAGTATGCATATAAAGAGTATATATATATATATATATATATATAATATTTTTTATTACTTATTGTCTACAACGTTTGTAATCGGTATCTTAAGTTACATGTTAAAAAAAGTCAAAATAAAAGTATACGTATTATGATTGATGAAGAAATTGAAAACTTATATAATTTATAAAATGAGAAGTGATTGATAGGTGACTTCTGATGACAACAATGGAGATAATTAAGATTAGGGTTAGATAGGTTTAGAGCTAATGGAGATAATATTGCTTTCATATATAAGGAAAAATTAGCCATGTCTATTACTATGTGAATATATATATAAAAATAATAATTACCAAACATCCTTCCTTTAAGTTTTCGGAAATCCCAGCCAAGGACTTGGGAGTTGGCTCTGCAAGTGAAGGAAATTGGAAGACCATTGACACGATTAACAATAGTCCAAAACAAAATAATAGATAAATTTATTATTACCTCAAAACGTTTAATTCAACTCAACAGCTACAAATAGAATGACATGGTTCACGATGATGAATAAAAATATTACTGCAGACCTAAAGAAGACAACAAACTTCCTCAACTCCCTTCTCAATATTTTGCCAGATGCATTCTTGGGTATGGAATCAATAAATGCTATACGCCTTATCTTCTTGTGCGGTGCAACCTGAAAATCAAATACAATTTACTTACAAACAACATGAACATTTGTTTTGAGTTATATATATATTATGAGAGGAAATTAAGCACCTGGTTGCCACAAAATGCATTATTTCAACTTCACTGAGGATACTTCCGGGCTGTCTTACCACAAATGCCATAGGTATCTCACCAGCTTCTTCGTCCGGATATCTGCCATTCTCATTTATGTTTATCAAGATTTATATATCAAATAAAAAATTTTGTTGACTTAAAAAAGAAAAGTTTAATATCATCATAATATTTTAGTTATATGTAACTATGTTATATTCACTCTTGACAGATATAATATAAGAATAATGCTGCTTACAACTGAATCGTACAATTAGCCAAAAAACATATGATAAAATAATGATTTTATATTAATTTTGTATAATTTTTGTTTAGTTGTATGAATCAGTTGTAAATATAGCACTATTGTATATATTCACATCCATTTTCGTGCCTAATTTTTATTTAAAAAATTAAACTTTTTAGAGGGAACAAAAAACGACTATTAAGATAAAGAAAACTGAAATTTACGGTATTACTGCAGCATCCGCTATATATGTTGAGAAATAAGCAAATTCTCTAATTCTGCTGGAGGAACCTGCAGGTAAATGATAATAATACCTTCATCAAGTGTACAAAATTTATTATTAAACACAGAATGATAGATTATTATTACCTGAAATGCCTGATATTTGATTAATTCCTTGATTCTATCCACAATGAAAGCAAAACCATCGTCATCAATGTAACACAGATCTCCGGTTCTCAACCATCCATCCGTTAACAAAGTAGAAGCAGTTGCTTCTTCGTCCCCAACGTACCCTACAATTTAAAGAGTAGTTTACTCATAAATTACATCTAATCAAATGAAATCATGCATAAAGCACCAGATAGAATTTACCTTTCATTGTTGAGGGTCCTTTAATCCAAAGTTCCCCTTCTTTGCAAGGAGGCAAGGCTCCACCGGTTTCAGTATCAACAATTTTTGCTTCAAAACCCCCTGAAAGTCTCCCGGCGGAACCCAAACGGTTACTTTCTTCTTTACATATTGTACGAAAAACCGCGCCTGTTTCAGTCATCCCGTAAACCTTTATAATCAAGAATCCGTCAAAAATTAATTTTATCCCTGCTAATTCAAACGGATAAATGAAAAAGATGCTTAGCAAATATTACCTGCAACAATACAACTTTCGGGAACCTAGCCATAAATGCCTCCATTGCATCCTTCCAGAATGGAACACCACCACACACTACGCTCTCAAGCGAGCTCAAATCAAAGCTGTCTGTTAAACTACCCTTGCACAGGGCAACCATCACTGATGGTGCACCAATCATATTTGTAACACTAAACTCTTCCACAGCCTTCAACATCTTCTTCGCATCAAACCTCTCCATCCCATTTACCACAAATGTCTCACACAACGCCACTGAAGCTAGAGAACGGATAAACCCGCTAATGTTAAAATACATATTCGTCGTTTGTAACATAACGGCCGTGGATTCTCGCTTTTTTCAAGTTGCACAAATGGTGGCAACTTCTGATATTAAGTTTCTATGAGATAGCATCACACCTTTCACCCTTCCAGTTGTTCCAGAGGAGTACAAGATCGCTGCCAAATGGGATTGACTCAATTTAACGCGCTCGAATTCATATTCTGAGCTCACCATCATTGACTCAAACTCGGGGGAGTCAATGAGGATGGGCTGGTGTTCAAGTGTTGGGAGCTTGTGAACGGTTGATGACGTGGCAAAAGCAATGACCGGCTTAGATAACTTAACTTGGTTGACAATTTCAGATTCCGGGCTGTCTGGGTTAGCGGGAGAGATGATAACACCGAGTGAGAGAAGAGAGAAGTAAAGGATGGGTATCCGAAGAGAGTTTGGAGAGAGTATAAAGGCAGTGTCATTTTTGGAGAGTTCGGTAACTTTCTGCAAATAAGCGGCCAAGGACTTAGTTCTGGTGGTGAACTGAGAGTAGAAAATCCGATGCCCGGTAATCAGGTTGATTAAAGCCACAGAGTCATGCGGCAATGGTGATTTGAGTCTGAGAGAGAAAGCGTATACAGCAGCTGAGAGAGGAGTGTCCTCTTCAGGAAGATCAAGTGGAGGTCTGAGGCTGTGAAAGGTTTTGTTAATTGAATTGAAACCACTCCTTGGATCGATGGGTGAACTTTTCTGGGCCATTTGATTGAAGCAGCTGCAACCATATGCAGAGAATAATGCACTTATAAATTATAATAGATGAAAGTTACCATGGCAAGCTAATGGAAACTTACAAGATTAATTTTTTAAGTTTTGCATGCAGTTCATGTGTATTAATTAATCATTAATTTTGTCGCGGATTGTCAATATTAGCTGTACTATATCTTCCTTTCCCGTTTGGATAGCTTTTATAATAATAAATTGTACTTAACAATATCATCGTGGGTTATTAAAACATTAATTAAGTTTTTCGTGTCACGATGTTAAAAATAAAATAACACTGCTAATTTATTGATTGCAGAAGCTGAAACCATGCATATGCAGAATTTATTGATTATAAATGGAGAAGCTATAGGGGATTAGATTTTTATCTTTTTATGTAATACTTCATATGGTATTTATATTTAAAATTATCAATTCAATTAACCTCACATATAGAATTCTTGGTTAATTAAGTCTAATAAGTAGGAAACTTTTTCCTTTTATATCACTATATAAGGTTTGATTCATATCCTATCCTAGCTCGGATACCTCACATATAGAATTCTTGGTACCTAGGCTAGTTAAATCCGAACAATTGTGCTTTCTTAGGATGGCATTTTCATCATGTCCTCACATAATAGAATTCTTGGTCAAGGTGAAAATATCCATCCAAGAACAAGATCAACTTAATTTTAGATATAAAGATTTATCCCTCACATAATAAATCTTGGATATTAAAATTTATATCAAAGAATTTAGTTATCCCACAATGGGAGACTTGGATTTAATAATTTTAATTGGGAGATTTAGGTTTAACCTTTAGTTAATTCATTTTTAGCATGCCATGTTTAATTAACCATTCATACATATCACATATATGCATAAACTAAAGCATGTGGTTGATCATGGGCTTTTCGAAAATACATCCTAAGCAAACTATTTACCCTAATACTATCTCTTTGATGTGATCGTCATCCGGATGCTTCTCGGTTCCCGTCTAGCCGATTCCATTACAAATTAGATCTTAGGCACGCAGCCCGATTAAAAATAAATAAATAAATTTAATTATTCAAGCATTTAAAAGAATATTACACCATTTTTTAATATTTGAAAACCAATGGCGCCCATGATCAACCCTCTAATCTAATATTCATTCATCACATAAATAAAATTAAACATTCATACCAAATATAATAAACAATTGATTTAAAGGCATGAATATAAACAATTATTTAAAGTATATATATATATATATATATATATATATATATATAATTATATATATATTATATATATATATATTATATATATATATATATTTACTAATATTAAATATAAATATATCTCATATTTAATAGTTTATTTATATAATAAAATATTATGGGTAATTTAATCATACTTTGGGCATGCAACAATTACCATTTTATAAAATCATTACACAAACACTTTTGTCTATTCTACCCCAAAGATATATTATTTAATTACTAACATATTTCAATACTTTTCACAAAAGTCATGCATGGCACAGATAATGGGTTTATTACTCAAAGAGTAATCATTCTATGACACAAGTTACTTTTAACTAAAGTAATATTTTTTATGACACATTATTTTCTTAAAAGACAATCATGTCATTTTGCATATCATATTTTTGAAACCATCAAACAACCAAATTATTACATTTCAAAAATATAATAATTTATGTCATGCAATGATGCGTTATAAGATAATTAATAATCAAATTGAATATCCTACATTAAATTACCACATCTATATAATATCATAATTCATCATATGAATTAATAATCCATAACTTTATGCTAACATCAAATTCCACCACTAACATTTGCAACATTTGCATACACTTCAGCAAAATATACTTTAATCAAATTAAAGGAAATGAACATGCATGAACATTTTTCTAAATAAATCATCATGCAACATTTCCTAAAGCATCATTCATCAATGCATGAATGAAATGACATATAATTATGGCAAACTAGTCATGGCTGAGAATGACTATATGCATGCATGTAGTTCTCAACATATCTCATGCAATAACAATCATCCAAACATGCTAATACCATCATCCAAACATGCTTTAAATACACTTCTAACATATCCAACATATTAGAGCAAGAAGAAAAACAGTTTTCCTTTAAACAAAGAGATGGCTGAGAATCACATATGCATCAAACATCTTATTACATCAAATACTCATCTCATTACAAAGGCATGCTCTTATAACCATTACCATTATTCAAACATATGAGAATGAGAAGAAAAATGAACATCCCCTCTGATCTATGTATGGCCGAGACATGCATGTAGAGCTACTATGAAAAAATTCATTTTTGAACCATATCACTAACATGCAAACTCAACCGTTTGATGAATATATGAACACATGGAAAATGTCATTTTGCTATAAATTCGACATGCAAGGAGCTTTAGCTCTGATACCATTTGAAAGACCAGCATGCATGCATGAAGAGTGGTGGAAATGGAGAGAAAGCATGAAAGGATGGATTAAAAAAAAACGGTTTTCATGCAAAGCTGAAAAGAGATTATACCTACTCATTTGCTTTGGATATGAATATAGCTCAAAGGGATGAAACCTCCACACTTTAACATCACCTTGAGAGATTGAGAGTGGACGTGGGTTTGAGAGAGAGTTTAGTTTGTTTTTGAGTGAACAAGTGAATGAACTAAAAATGCAACCTTTTGCATTTATATATACTTGGCAATTTTACAATTATTTTTTTCACTTCCAGCCCATAAAATCTTATTTTATAAGGGACCCCACGAATTTATATGCTACACTTTGAATAATCAATATTATTCAAGGGCCCATGTAAACTAAACTAGTTTACATTAACAATTCATAAATTACCCTTTTACCCTTTAACTATTAAAAGTATTTTTGTTCATCTCATTATCTTACACTTTAAGATATTAATTAATTTTGCTTGACCAGTTTAACCCTTAAAATGTCACAAATAATTTTCTATGTAACTATTACTATGGAAATCCCGTTATTACCCTGGAAGTGCTAGCCCTCTTCGGATAATCATTTCTCTCTCGCATCCTTCTCTAACTTCTCAGGCTATTGGTGTGACCATGTAGGTCCCCATGGATTAGTTGTGAGTCGGTTCTGGATGAATCCAGAAACTGTCTAGAGGCCCAATCATGGAATGTCAAAATCCTAAACTCGATCTCTAACACGAATCGTCAATCAATATGTTCGGAACTCGTCATCACAAACTTGCTTTTGCATGACTAATAATACCGCTGCCCCGAGATTCTGATTTCCAACATTTATCGACATTCATCTAGGAACTCGATCTGGATAGAGTCAGCGGTACTACTCCGATCCTATATTTTCGAGTCAATGGATCTCCTCTTGACCATCGTTCGTTTCCGCATATGAATAACGCATGACCAAATAGGCTTTATTGTACGAAACATGATTAGTCTCGTACTTACACCATATGAAACCATACGCATCCTATCGGATCCAACACAAGTCTCAGGTCAAAGGACTACATCGTCACTGATATAACCAAACAATAAATCATTGACTACATGCTTTTCCAAGTGATGTCGTTATTCAGTCACGTTCGAAAAACAGTTCACCAACTGCTAATCCATACAATGACCCGTGACATGACTATCATCGTCATCCGTACTTATATCCTCATGATATCTTTCAGAAGCATTCGATATGCCTACTATGCAATATAATTGCACAAATTATATTGCTTCCGTAGGGAAACCCTTTTCGATAATTCATTTACCGATTAAATGAATCATCTGGACAATTCATATACATACTTATTTAAATGCATGACTAAATAAAGAGCAATTTATATATATGAATTGAAGAACTTTTTCTTCTATTATTTAGATATATAGATACAAGACAAAATTCTCTAAAACCACAATACGAATGGTTTCTGGGGCATACACTAATATACACTAACAATAGTATATGATGACACGAAGATCTGAGGCTGTGAAACATCTTCGCAAGAGAATTGATACACTGTTTGGATCGATGTGCAAAGTATCTAGAAAATATGTATCAAGAAATGAATCGTACAAGCGGGTAATGTTTCCTTCATAGAGGAAATTTATGTCAACACGTCTCCATTAAAGATTGAATATATATGGTCACTACTTAAAAAGTATCTAACATCTAAAACACCAGTATTCTGTTAGAATAATACTACACATACTCATCCCATACAATATTATGTGGCAATTATGATGGGTGAAAGTTTAATTTTAATTTTAATTAGCCAATCATATCTTGTCACATAATGTTGTATGATAAATTTGTATGAAATGATGTATGTGTAATATTACTCATCATTTTATATGAGTATGCATATAAAGAGTATATATATATATATAGATATAGTATAATATTTTTATTACTTATTGTCTACAACTTTTGTAATCGGTATCTTAAGTTACATGTTAAAAAAAGTCATAATAGAGTACCTGTATTATGATTGACAAGAAATGATAATAGATGAAAACTTATTAATTTATAAAATGAGCAAGTGATTGATGGGTGACTTCTCATGACAACAATGGAGATAACAATTAGGGTTAGATAGTCTTAGTAAGGGATAATATTGCTTTCATATATAAGGAAAATAGCCATTCTTTACTATGTGAATATAATATATAAAAAATAAACCAAACATCCTTCCTTTAAGTTTTCGGAAATCCCAGCCAAGGACTCGGTAGTTGGTTCTGGAAGTGACTCAGAGGAGGAATTGGAGACATTGACTGACTTATTACCAACAAACACACAATTAACAATAGTTCAAAACAAACAAGAGATAATTCATTATTATCTCGAATGTTTAATTCACTCGACACCTACAAATACAATGACATGGCATTCACTTGCATCAACGATGATGAATAAAATAATACTGCCGACCTAAAAAGTCTCTGTGTGTGGAACTGGAACAACAACTCCTCAA